TGACAGAGTGGTAGGTAGTTAGTGGTAGTGGTAGGTAGGTATAAATTGGTGTACACTTAGTGATTTGGTATATACTTAGTAATATAGCGATGGGTAGTTATGTAGTTAGTGACAGAGTGGTAGGTAGTTAGTGATGGTGGTAGGTAGCTAGTAATTTGGTATATACTTAGTAATATAGCGATGGGTAGTTATGTAGTTAATGACAGAGTGGTAGGTAGTTAGTGGTAGTGGTAGGTAGCTAGTAATTTGGTGTATACTTAGTAATATAGCGATGGGGAGTTAGGTAGTTAGTGATAGAGTTGTAGGTAGTTAGCTGTAGAGCGATGAATACCTAGTGATATAGTTAAACCTAGTGACATATTGATAGATAGCAAATGATATTAGTAATAGGTAGTACTGGTATCGTGATATAGAGGGTCAGCATAAAGTGCTGCATTAATATCCAATTAGTGGGATGCGGAAGTGTGGTGAGGCAGCATTCTAGATGAGTGCGCAAAGTAGCGTGTTAGAAACGTCATTGAGATGGCTTTTATAATCCAGTATTAAACACTGTGAATCCAATATTAAACAGTGTGGCGACGGCATATAAGTAGGCAATGATCATACAAATGTCTAGGGATTGAGGAACCAAAACCTGTCTGTGACCCAAGACCGTATGTCTATATTAAAACTTTGGCGATGTCAATGGTTACAGGACGACATGTAGATGTCGCTCTAGGCCTATGTTCGGTATCACACGTGTCTTTATACTTTCGGACGTGTGAATCAATCTTCAATTCCAGACACCCACCGCCTAGGCAAAACATATCAGGTGCAAGCGCAGCCTATATACCAACAGATGAGAGAGTTACGACTGTGTACACAAACTGTATACATCAATGCGAGTCAGTGTACTTCAGATATGTATAGAGCACATAACTGTGATAAGCATATACACAAAATTGAGAATCGGTGTGTATAAAAACCTATATATGCAAAAAGAATAAACAAAGTTCCACATATACACACACACACACGAGCGCGTCCAATCACCTACAATATGATTACCCGTGCAGATTTTGGGACAAGACATACCGATTTCGGCCATGGCAGTGTATTCTGAGTTGTAGATTTTATAACACATATACCGATTTCGGCCATGGTAGTGTATTCTGAGTTGTAGATTTTGGAACAGACATACCAATTTCGGCCATGGTAGTGTATTCTGCGTTGAGGTCAGTTCTGAGTTTGTGCATTCCTTCTGTGACCTTCTTGTGAGCCCCTCGGGTGGCAGAGACGACTCTACGAATTGGCCAGAAGTACAATTGTGCCAATAAATATATACAACAACACAACGAAAGAAGAGTGCATTTGATAATAGGAGGGAAGGTCTGTACGTATACACACGAATAGGAGAGATGTATAAAAGTCGCAAATGAATACATACGACACACACACAGACACACACGGACATTATTTATATATATATATATATATATATAATTATGTAAGAGTGAACCATGCAGATTAGCATACCTCTTATTACAGGTGAGAGCTGTGCCCAGTTCTTCGTCGAGTGCACCAGTGTACTGTCTGGTGATCTCGTGCAGGTCTTTGGCATTTTGGTCTGTCTGTAAACTTGTCTGTTGTATCCGTTCCATGGCACTCTGAGTGATACGACAGCCGCAATGAAGATATAGTCAGTTGGTTTAACTAAAGACCCGTCTTCGTTCGAGATGTGCTCTCGATAGACATATATGTACATATGCTCAGGTGAAACGATGAATGCATTTGAATTGAATGGTCTACCTCAAGTACATACAGGGAGTCATGGAGCTGTATCGAAATCAGTCATATAACTTATTTGTGATTGGAACAGAATCTGCAGAATCAGACGCATGGCCCAAGATGGGTTTTCACAAACCTTTTCTTCTCCTCTAGTGTATTTTTACACGCACACGCACGCACACACGCATGCATATATATACATGTACACACACGCACACGCACACGCACACACATTATAATATA